AAATTTCGGTTGCAGCCTTTGTGCCCTGGCACTGAACTCAGGACTAGCCGCAAAGGCACTTTCAGTGACAGTGAAAAATGCATCCAGTGAGGAATCAGGAGGAGAGGGGAAAGCAGATCAAATGAAAGCTGGCAGCATGGCCAAGGGCACTGGGTCCTGTTCTCTGTACTCCCTATTTCTCACTATGTGAGAAATGTGTTACCAACTACATAACCTGGTCAAGAAGCATTAAGGAATCCCGACGACTTACACAGTGAGTCAAGCTTAGTGGATGAGTACAGACCTTGCATCCACGTCCCAGAACTAGAGCCCACAGTCCTGCTGGCCTCACACGGAAGACTGCTTCAGTCGCTTTATTCTGCTGTTTAGGAGCTTACACCAAGCACATCCTAGTCCCCTTCTGTCTGTTATGCAGCTACTAGCATCCTCTACTTGAGGAAGATGTATTGTTTTTAGCTATTGTTCAGTCTCCAACTCATGATGTCCCCATGAACCACGGAACTGCAGTTGTGATTCCACAGGGTTTTCACTGGCTGAGTTTGGACAGAGGTTTCTAGGCCTGTCTGTCTAGTCTGTCTAGAAGCTCCGCTGAAACACACACAGCTTCAGAGCAATGCATAAGCATCCAAGGACTATGGGATATTGGCTCTGCATGAAGTGCACTGGCAGGGAATAGGATCCAGGTCTCTGCGTGGGAGGCAAGAATTCTACCACTGAGACACTATCTCCCGAGGAAAACCTACTTTCCTGCTTACTGTTATTTTCAGGTGTCTTCATTGTTAGGATAGCACCTTACTTCTCCTATCCCTTTTAACCAAAAGAACTCAATCCTTTTCTCAGCCTGTATAAATCCTGCCCAGACTTCAGACCACAGGCAATCTTTCAGCAAGCCCAGTTTACACTGAGCTCTCCAAAAGAAGCTGAGTGTTTGTAACTGCCCGTTTCCATTTATCACTTACTATCCTATATTGAGAAAAGGGGCCCTGGTGGGGTAGTGGTCATGTTAGGCTGCCATCTGCAAGGCTGGCAATTGGAAACCACTAGTTGCTCCATGGGAGAAATATAGGGCTTTCTACTCTCATGAACAGTCAGTCGAAGAGGCCCACAGCAGCAGTTCTACCCTGTCCCACAGGGCCGCTGTGAGTTGGCACGATTTGATCGCAATGAGTTTGCTTTGAGGTTATCCTATATTGAAGCCTCTGAAACGCTTCGGGCATGCTTTTCCCCATGAATTTGTTCTGACAAATACTACGCAGCGATACATTGCTTCAGGCAGGAACAAAATCCAAATTTCCTGCCTCCCTTATTCTGCTCAGAATAGATCCGCAGGCTTTCTGGAGCTCACTAAGCTCCTTTGTAAGGTAAAGTGTTTCCAATGAAGCCAGTTGTAAGAGCTTCTATCTTAGGGTGTGCAGTGGGGCCCTAAATTGATGCTACCTGGTCTTAACAAGGAGAACAGGAAGATAATTGGTGAGCAGATCAGAGTGGCCAATCTGGCAAGATCAAGCTTAGGACGCTTTTGAGGAAAAGCACAGTCTACATTGCACAGAAAATGCCAATCATTACCATCAAGTGGATGCCGACTCATAGTGACCCTACACATAGCACAGAACTGCCCCTGTGAGTTATGAGACTGTAACTCTTTACAGGGGTCGAGAGCCTCATCTTTCTACAACAAGAGGGGTTTCAAACAGCTGTCCTTGCAGTTAGTCAACCAATGAGTAACCACTGCACTGCCAGGGATCCTTTATGAAGCACTAAGTGATCGCAAAGATGCTAGAATTATTCTGTCTCGGTGGCTAATCAAGAGTCCACCCCAATAACCCCAAAAGAAGAAAGGATCAAATTCCAGAAACACAACATAAGTATCGGAAGTTAAGTCAGATTCTAGAAACTTCGTTTCAAAGGCAAGTTAACCCTGAACTTGGAGTGGTGGGTAGTAATTCTTGTAAGAGTACAAAAACGCACTGCTGGACTTCAGAAGCCAGTCGGACAGGAAACAAATCATTCTTAAAATCTAGCTCTCACTAAGTTTGTTTCAATCCCCATAATAGCAAACACAAACTAGTAATACTTTTCCCTGGAAGCCTTGTGATAATACTGAAAACTTTACTTCCAAAGGGTTATAAAAATTTTTTTTTAAAGATGGAGAAATCCAAAACCAAGTGAATGAGTTCCACTCTTCAATTTAAAACTGTCCGTTATTTTTCTTTTTCTGGGGTCTGAGGATCCAGCTAATATTTGTTATCAATTGTAAATAAAAAACTCCAAACTCACTGCCATTGAGTGGCCGCTGACTCTGAGTGAGTCAAGCTTAGTGGATGAGTACAGGCCCTGCATCCAGAGGCAGAGTAGAGCTGCCCCCGGTGGGTTTTCTGAGGTGGTCACTTAAGCGTCATCTTTCTCCTGATCAATTTCAAACATCAGGAGAATGCACTTATAAAATGTGCTACCTTTTCCTTAACTCCCTAAATTAAACACGTATTCTACCCATTTCAACATACTGCAAGTGTGCTCTACATGTCCCATGCTGACCTGGCATTTGGGCCAAGTTTATTTCGATTGGGTCTCCTACACAGGGAGCGGAGGGAGAGAACAACAAAAGGAAGCGCTGCATTTGCTGAAGCAAGAAGGCTTTTGCCCGAGTGCACTCTGCAGGGAGCTCCCTAAACAGAAATCACGCAACACGCACAAACTCACAGTTCAAACAAGTGCCTGCTCACTTCCGCATCGACGGCGCTGAGAGGGTCGTCCAGGAGGTAGATGTCTGCATCTTGGTACACTGCTCTAAAGAACGTCGAGAGATTAGACAGGAGAAAGTGTCACATCTCCCACCGTCCTTGCCTGGGAATGGGGGCAGCACTGCGCAGTTCAGGTGGTCTTTCCCAAACAGCATTCAGAATGGTCCCCGCCAAGGGCCTCACACAGTACCCAAGCCACAGTGAGCAGATTCGACGTGTTCAGGACAATTAGCAGGAGCCTCCTTGACATGCAGAACAACAACACTAACGAGCTGGCTTCTCCAAAGCCTTTAAACCTCAAAGGTGCAAGAGAACTTGATAAACATGCCCAGTGTTCAAAGGCTTGGTGATATGCACACGTACACTCAGCAACCGGAATGCTCTCCTCTCCCTTCATTATGTTGCTCACAGGAGGGGCACCATGAATTGGTCTCTGGGTAGTAGAAGTTGAGGCTGACTCACATGGATAGGGTGGCAGGAATTTGGGAGCTCAGGGTAGGGACCTGGGCAGTGGGGATGGGATGATAAATTATGCAGGTCATCTCCCATGGGATGGGGGAAACTCTGATGCTGCCCTAATGCCTTGCCACTGAACTGCAGTTTACCTTGCAAGGTTGACCCGTGCCTTCTGCCCTCCACTCAGAGTGGCTCCCCGATCTCCTATCACGGTGAGGTCTCCATCCTCCAAAAGCTGTAGGTCCTACGGAGAGAAAGGGAAGGAAAAAAGCAAAAACAGGAAACATGTTTTCCGACTGTTACCCTAAACTTCACACACTACTTATTCAGGAACAAAGACATTATTTGAACAAGAGCAAGTTGGAGTGGGCGAGTTACAATCTTGCACTGTTCAGAGAACACGTAGGGCTTTTGGTTTTGTCTCTGCACTGTTTTTAAAAAACAGATTTACATATACATTTGCTGAGCACCAACTGGATGTCCGGCATTGTCTGGGGCCAGGGAACAAATCAACGTTCCTGGAGTTCCCACCGCAGGAGAACGACACGCTGCATGTGAGCAAATGAGTGGGACTGAGAATGGTGCTAAGCAGTAAACAAAAAGAAGAAATAGGTGTAGAGGGAGGGAAGGAAAATCCATCTTATTTAAAGGGTCGGAAAGGTCTTTGACCGGAGGGTGCTTGGTCTCAGCTCTGTGAAAGGTGGAGTGCAGCAGGGCGAAGGAGCAGAGGCATGCCCCGTCCTCACACAAAGGCGCGGGGGCTAGAAGAGGCAGAGCAGAGCAGAGCACGTCAACGGGGTGTGGGTGCAGGCGGAGAGCTGGGAAAGACGAGCCATGGCTGGTGTCACTGAATTATATACATGAGAGGGGAGGATCTAGCACATGCCATGTTATCTCTATTTTTACAACAATTAGAAGACAAAGATGAAGAAAGCTCGAGAAAAAGACAGGAGACAGGGAGGGGTAGGCTGGTTGAAAAAGACATGCACGGTTTCGTTCTGAGTGAAATGAGTAGGAAGGTTGGGCAAGCAATGGCACAGCTGGCTTAGGCACATTAACAATCCATCCTCCTTGCACCTCTCTGGACAACAGATTAGAAGGTGGCAAGGGTGAAAGTCAGGCACAGAACTATCATCTCTGCAATAATGGTCATGGATGGACCTGTAGGGGGCACCTAGCAACAACAATTTTGCAAAGTAAATGCGAGCAGAAAGCAAGTGGGCCCTGGGATTTCCGTGCGAAGCAAGTTCTTTCACCTTTCTATCCTCTTTTGCAAAACAGTTTGGAGGAACAAGGACACTAAACTAAAAGAATTCTGTACACCATGGAACCAGGAAGTAAATTCACTAACTCACTACTGGTGTCTGATACCTAGTTTCTGATCAGAGTGAGCCAGGAAACGGGGAAAGAAGATTGTTTCCAGTGTAACCACCAGCAATACGCACCAAGCCACACAGGCCCACACTACAGACTCAGTCTGGTTGAACTTCATCCAAGTCAAGGCAGCCATTATTACGTAACAGTCAATACTAGGGACTCCAAATTAACATCATTCTCTGACATCTCGTGTTCCCAAGAAGGCAAATTCCCAGTCTTCCACCCATCCACTCACTGCCCGGGCTTTGCAGCAGACAGCCCTTCTGATGGGTTCCTGATTAGTTTTTAGTCACTGATTTGATGTGGCTTTGTTGACATTCTCAAAGTAGCATCAAGTTGGAGCACAGCGATCTGAGCCATTTTCAAGAGCAGGCACTGAAACCGTACTTGTTCTCTGAGCACAGTTAGAAGGAAAGTCCATGGGCTCTCTCAGGGGTGGCCGTAGTTCTGTGAGTGTGCTAACTCTTTATGGGTTAGCTTCCGGTAAGGAAAACATGGGAAAGGATTGGAAGTGAGTACACTCTGAGTCAGATGAGTGTCCTGACTATAACTGTTTGCTTGCGTTAAGTGGAAGCCGGAGCTGGGCATCTGTGACAGTCCCTCCCAGAGAGGAAGAACAGATCCTTACTCCCATTAACCTGCCAGTTCAGCTTAGTCAATTACTTCATCTTCAACAGTTTTCAAGGAGACTTGCTTGGTGGTATGGTTATGTGTTGAACTCCTGAAAACACGGCCAGCAGTTTGAAACCACCAGCTGCTCCCCAGGAGAAAGATGAGGCTTGCTCGTCCCACGAAGAGTTAGTCTCAGAAATCCACCAGAGCAGTTCTCCCCATCTTGCAGGGCCACTGAGTCAGAACCAATTTGGCGGCAGTGAGTTTGGATTCACCTCTGTTTTCACAAGAGGAAAACCAGAAACTGCGTATGCTGGTTTGAAATCGCTGAGTTCGGGCCACCACTATGGTACGTGAGCTATGCGGGAAGCTCCCGGGACAAACACCAGTGACACCGATGGTGGAAGGGCTCCAGAAAAGAGCCTCCAAAACTCGAGGATTTGGCAAACCGGATGCTGTCGACAACTTGCGGTAAGCCATGACCTTGTTCAGAGCTTTTCCTCCATCTGAAAGCGCATGCTTTTCCTAGCATGGCCTGTCTACCCGTGTCTCCAGGCCCGGCCAAGCCCTCATCCATGAAGCCACGTCTGGGTCAGAAGACACAATCTCTTCAACTGGGTTGACAAGTCTGCATTTGTATTTCTTACTGAGAGTTCCCGCTCATATCCAGCTTCCTTGGCTTAGCTCCTTTTTTAGCCTGCAGTTACTTCCCTGATGGTCAAAACTATGAAGCAAGGGCTATTCTCCGTTGTATAGGAGGAGTCATCCAAAAGTTTGTAGAAAAATGGAATTTGAAAATAACAGAATTTTCCCCACAATCTTTTTGGAGCCCCCCTCTTGAATACACAAGCAGAGAATAAGAGTGTGTATCAGTCAGGCCCTAGGTAGCACCAAAAGTGAAGTGTTTAGCTAACTAATCAAAAGGTTGGTGATTCAAATTCACCCAGAGGCTCCTTGGAAGTAAAGCATGCGGTATTGTTTCTAAAAGGATCGGTCACTGAAATAGCTACTGTGCACAGTTCTGCTCTTACGCACAGGCAGTCAGGGGTGAGAAGACCCCAGCAACTGTTTGAGTATTGGTTTTTTCCCTGTTGGAAACCAACTGCTCTACTGGGGCCATTTTGCAGGTGAAAATGACAGAGGCTCAGGTAACCAACATGGTGAGTGCAAAGTGCCAGTGCCTGCACCAGACCACCCGTCCTGGTCTGCTCCTTCCTGCAGGGCTTCACTTCCTGGAGAGGGCAGAAATAAGCACGAGCCTTACTCCACTTCACTGTGTCAGTCAGCAAAGATGCAGCAGTCCACATCTGGAAGCATGACACATCCAGGCCACTGGTGGCTCAGCCAACGGAGGGCTCAGTCACACTGGGTCTGGGTGACCTGAGGGTGGTGGAACCCAGGAAAACCACACCCATTGCTGCTAAGTCCTTCAGTGAGAGCACTGGTCTCTGGAGGAAATGCAGAACAGGGGAGAGTCCCTGGAGGAAGGCAGGGCAGGGGAGCGGGGAGCAGGGCCCGGGTGGGGGTGGGGGTGCAGTCATGTTCCCAACACCATCCTTTCTACAGGGATGTTCCAAAACAGGAGAGCAGGCAGGGAGCTGACTCCAGAAATGCAGGGAGTACAAGGCAAAATCTAAACCCTGGACTGGATGGAGCAGAACTTGACTCCCATCAAGAAAACAAGCTTGACACCTGCTCCTTTCCACAATCCACCTCCTCAGAGGCCTCATTTTCTAACACAATTCTTCCTTACAAAGACCCCCTAGAAAGGGCACATTAGAAAAGTCTAGAATTGGAAGTCACACACACATGGATTTAAACTTGAGCTCCAAGTGTTGAGGCGAGTCAGTCTCTCTAAGCCCTCAAATATGGACAGAAACATCTAAGATGATTGGTGGGAAGAGATTCAAAAATCAGCCCGGCTATCAAAAGATAGAGCGTCTGGGGTGTTCAAGACTTGAAAGTAAACAAGCGGCCGTCTACCTGAGAAGCAACAAAGCCCACATGGAAGAAGCACACCAGCCTGTGTGACCACGAGGTGTCTAAGGGATCATGTATCAGGCATCAAAGAACAAAAAATCCTATCATTGTGAATGAGGGGAAGTGCAGAGTGGGGACCCAAAGCCCATCTGTATACCACTGGACATCCCCTTTACAGAAGGGTCATGGGGAGGAGACAAGCCAGTCAGGGTGCAGTATAGCACCTATGAAACATACAACTTTACTCTGGTTCTTTAATGCTTCCTCCCCCCACCCCCCACTCACCCCCACTCTCATGATCCCAATTCTACCTTCAGGACCATTGGTGAGAGTTACAATACTGGGAGGGTAGAGGGATAGAAAGTGGGGTAGAAAGAGGGAACCGATTACAAGGATCTACATATAACCTCCTCCCTGGGGGACGGACAGCAGAAAAGTGGGTGAAGGGAGATGTCAGACAGTGTAAGATATGACAAAATAATAATGATTTATAAATTATCAAGGGTTCATCAGGGAGGGGGAGAGGGGAGGGGGAAAATTGAGGAGCTGATACCAAGGGCTCAAGTAGAAAGAAAATGTTTTGAGAATGATGATGGTAGCAAATGTACAAATGTGTTTGACACAATGGATGGATGAATTGTGATAAGAGTTGTAAGAGCCTCCAATGAAATGATTTTTTTAAAGCATCCCTTTGTATGCATGTGTACAAGACAGAAAACACATAGTGAATTTTGAATAAATGGGCCCAAGGTCCACAGTTCAAAATTACCAGCCACTCCTCAGGTGAAAGGTGAGCCTCTCTACTCCAGGAAAGAGCCACAGTCTTGGAAACTAACAAAGGCAAGTTCAATCCTGCCTGGAAAGGCTCCTCGTGAATCGGGATTGATGAACAGCTGTCAGGGTCTGGAGAGTGCTCTGAGGTGCTCCATTGGCCTGTGCCATCTATCTTCTCATGCAGCGTACAGAGAGGCTTCAGATTCCCATTTTTTGGTTGGGAATGAATGGAATTAAAAGATAACAGAATCCAAGAAACATAGTGAGGAAGTAGGAGGGGTGGGGGCCATCGAAGACGTACAACAAAATACATAAGGATGGCTGAATAGGAAGTGGATCTACTCTGTGGAACTTCCCCAATTCATAAAAGTGTTGTTTTTCTGAAAACAAAAACGGCAAGATAATGGAATTTTCATGAACATTTTCAAGTCCCCTCATATATGCTATATGATTAAAAAAAAAATCAAGCTCACTGCTGCTAGCTTGTTGTCGTTTCTGAAA